GCACCAATCTTCCTTTTTTTTCCCTCTTAGGAGATCTCCTTCCTTTGGAATGCACAGCCTGATTTGTCCATGGTTAAATCCTTCCCTTTTCCCAAGACCTCTGGGCCTGGAAGCTTTTCCTTTTTCCTGGTTCCCATGGTAATTGCTGTATAGGGGAATTTGAGAACAGATGTTTTGCATCCCTCCTCTCCACCCAGTCTCTCTCTTAATTTCAGTCATAAAATATTTATGGGACTCATGAATAATTATTTTGTAACCCAGAGCTCATTCTGCCCTTGGTTTGCAGAGTCTGGAGGGCGGATTCCACCATTGTTACCTGGTTGCTGCCTCAGGTGAGAGGTCCCTAAGTTAAACTCCTAACTTTGAGAGCTGTTAGCACCTTTCTTTGTCCCAGCCCATGACTTGGGTCACCTCCAAAAGAGAGTAGACTGGGTTGAATGCAGGAAACTTCAGACCTCCACTGATGGGAATAAGACTATGTTTGCACAGGTGCCCATTGGAAAAGTCTTGCATGTACACACAGTCTTAAATGTTGAACAAACGCTTCTTGTATCCTAGCCTTGTTGATCACTGATTTTTCTGTACAGCAGGGCTAAAAGTGTCAGTTTGGAAGAAAAATGCCTGAAGTAAACTGATATTTAGAGGTTCTGCAGTTAATGCAAATCCTGCTCATCTTGTAATAGCTCCCAGGCCTTTTGTGTTTTATTTTTGATACATAGTCTTGATGACTTAGCCCAGGTCAGCCTTAAACTTTGGATCCTCCAAAGCCTCTGACTCCTTAGCATTTGTTATCACAAATGTGAAGCACCATACCTGGCTTTCTGCTACTTTTTAATGGCACTTTTGAAGTAACACCTCTTTTTGCTTCACTCAAACTTCTCATCCTCCATTTCTTCCAGCCCTCAGGGTGTTGTTCACCCTGAAAGGAAGGATGAATCCTCTCTGAATAGGCAGTGGCTCTGTAGGGCTCAGTGAATCCTTTCCTCCATTTCATGGCACAGCCTCAGCACTCAAAGGCCTTAGGTCATGTCCCAATCCTTTGAGCAGCTTGCTGCCTGAACTATGCAGGACCATTAGAAATGGACATTTTAAATCCAGGCATTAAACGGTAATCCTGCTAAATAATTTGTTTCCTGTTTTATGTGGTTTGCATAGAAGAGGGGGTGGAAAAATGCAGAAATGTTTTCCAGTGCATTTCCTTCCTTCCACCCCCAATCCTGCTAAAGATACAGTGTGCCGATTTCATGGTGGCAGTAGGGGTTATTCCGAAGTGTTAGATTTTTATGTGCCTGTTTGCTTTCCAAATAGGAGTGGTGTCTTATGCTTTTTGTCACTACAGTGCAAGCAAATGCCAAGCACAGAGAAGGTGTCTGATTTGTGTACCCTGGTTCTGAGCCCTACAGGGATATGACCAGATATGATAGTCTCCATGGGGAGACTTCCACTTTCATTTTCTCTTCCCTTTTCCCTGAAACCAATCTTTTCATGGTTGCCTGAGATTTTCACACTGCCAAATGAAGTGTGTGCGTGTGCATGCGTGCGTATGAGATGGAGCTCTCTAAAGGCATCTGATTATGCTGAGCATCCATTCCTTGACTTTCCTGTGACCTTGATGATCTCTTCACCCCTTATCCCCTTTTCTTTTCCTGTTGAATCCCTAGGTTTTTCAGAGGTTTCTTTTCTTTTCGAGTAAGGTTTCACTTTGTACCCAGGCTTCCTGCACCTCTTGATTCTTCTGCCTCCACCTCCTGAGTGCTAGAATTACAGGCATGTATCACAATTCCCAGCTGAATCCTAGTTTTGACTCTAGATTTTTGGCCTCAACCTTGTCTTTCTCTTCCACTTTTGTTGATCACATTCATTCTTTTGGTTTCTACTCTTACCTCTATGTGGATGACTCCCCCAAATACCATTCTGGTGCTGTTTTAATTCCTTTGTGCCAGACCTCTATTTCCAACTGCCCATAAGATATACTTAAATGATACATAGATCACAAATTCAAAATCTCCATTCTTTCTAATACAGGAACATGAACTGAGAGGTCATTCATGATGCATCTCTTTCTTCCAGCCCTTAGAGTCGGTCTGTTGTAAATCTTCCTTGGATTTGTTTAGGCCCCAGCCTTCTTGCTCCTCATTACAGCATTGCCAGCAACTCTCAGGCTCTTCCTTTTCTCCCTGCCCTTGCCATTCTGGTTCTCTCATGTCCCAACTATGGTGGACCCATCACTTCCCACCTCCCAAACTTAGGGTTGGTCCCTGCTGCTTAGTGAGTAAACATCTCACTTCTCTCAACAATATGCCTGCGACTTCCAAGCCTCTGCTATTTTTATTAATCCCTTAGCAGATTTTTCTTTTTGTTCTTTTATTTAATTTCTTTATTCCTTTTCAAATCCCTGCTGTAGTTTAGTTCTGTAATTAATGGATGAAATCTCCAAGTCATTATCAGTTTCCTTGCACCCACTGAACACCAGGTCCCCTGCAACTCTGGAGTGGCTCGTGGTCTCCTGAGCAAGCATACTATGCTCACTGTCTATTAGTCCCCTTGCTGTTTCCCTTCCTCCCCCTGCCTTAACAAGTCTATATTGTCTCATCTCCTCAAAGCTACCTCAACCTCATCAACCCACAGCAAGGAGTATCTGAGAATTTCTACTATTTTTGCATGAGGACCCCTTTAGTTATTCTTGGATCTTTTCATGTGTATCAGTTTTAGCTCCTTAATTGGATAGTTATAATGTCCTTAAAGTCCACTTTTTTATTTGCTGTGCTAACTCTCCTCAGTGCTGGGTGTGTATCGTCATTGTTATAACAGTATTCATAATAACTACTCTTAATCTCTAATTATGTATAACTAGAACTAATTAGGATAATACACTGAGCCAGGCATTGCTTGATGTACTTTATGTGCATTTTATTATCTAATGAGTATATATTCATTACATAGTTAAGTAACTTAGGAAGATTTGCTCAGTTGTACCAGCTGTGTGAGTCAGGGGAATTACTTCTGCTGAGATTTAGTGTCTTCATCTGCCATGTCAGTTAGGTTTTTGTTACTATTACAAATGCCTGAAAGAGAAAAGGTTTATTTTGGCTCACAGTTTTAGAGCTGCCAGTTTGGTTGACTGGCCCCATTGCTTTGGGCTTGTGGTGGCATATCATTATGGGAACACACAGTGGAGCAAAGCTGTTCTTCTAATGCCCAGGAAGTGGGAAAAAAGGAAGAGGAACGGGGTTGAGTCTCCCCTATCCTGCATAAGAACATGTCCCCAGTGATTAATGACTAGAAGATCTCTCTCACTAGGCCCCACTTCTTAAAGGTTCTACCATCTTCCAGTAGCTCCATGGGTTGAGGACATGGGCCTTTGAGGGACACTCCAGATCCAAACTACAGCATCTTCAAAATAGGTAACTGTGTGTCTGCTTTTTAAGGTTCTGCCATCTCCAACTCTGTGGTTCAATTCAGTTTCAATTCACTCATATCTGGGGAATCCTCACTGTGTTCTTAGCACAGATTTGTCACTCAGGGAATATGAAACAAACATGGCTCGGTCCCTGGTCCCTTCCCTTATCACTACCTAGTGCAATAACAGGAAGCCAGGGTGTCTGAGGAGTAGAGAACAAGGAAGCCAGTTACTTCATTAGCAGAAAGTGGGAGGATTCCTGAGAGTCTATTGTAATTAGAAGCTTCCTGAGGGAGGAGAGATTTCCCTTTTAGGAGGCCATTGACAGTGGGAGTACAAAGACACCTCTTGACACAAGTTATTCCGCAGTGAACTGGAAAAGGGCAGTGTTTAACCAGCCCACCAGACATTTTGCATGTGCTAAATTTAAATTGGTGACCACACTGACATTGTTGTAAGATAAAACAGGAGAATCTCAACCACATCAGAAAACTATGTGGGTTCAGTGGAGTGGAATATTTGGATGTTTGAGATGAATCCTCAGATGAAAACCATTTATTTTGACATCTCCTTATGCCGAGACTCATAAGCCACCAGGGAGCATCTGTTACAAAGATGGTACATCTAGATTCCTGTCACAATATAATGTAATTAATTACCATCACAATTGGCCAATATTAGTGTTTAATATTAATTATGCCTTTCTTCAGTTAAAAAAGGAATTGAAGAATTTGCAAACATATTTGCCTGGTAACAAGAGAAAAGCACAAGAGAAAAAAAAGCTAAAGGTAGAAATGATAGGGAAAGCACACAGGTCCAAAGTTAAATAAACTTCAAGATTTGGCCCAGAACTAGGGCTCGCACTGCATGCTAAATAGAAATAACAGCAGCAGGACCCTTCACTGTTTAGGTTCTGGGGGAAAGCACTTTCTTTACCACAGGTGGGTTGCATACTTGGAGTTCAGCATCATAACAACCAATGCATTTTTTTCCCTAAAGAAAAGTTTCCTTATTTTTCTTTTTGGCAGTACTGAGGTTTGAACTCAGGGCTTCACACTTGCTGGGCAGGTGCTCTTACCACTTGAGCCACTCCACCAGCAAGGTTTCATTTTTAATAATGATAATGTTGCATTGCTCAGATTGCAAGCTCATATCTGCAAATTTATCCTTATTGATGAAAAGTATGTTGGATATTGGATAATTCTGTATGCTCTCATTCATGATGTTTGCTTTGAAAAGAACTCATTAAAAACAAAAGCTAAAAGCAAAACACCAGCCTCAGGCTTTTTGGCTGAGCTTTCCAATGCACCCATCATCTTACTTAAGGGAAACCCCAGTTCTGAGTCCAAAGAGAATTTCCTCTGCTTGGAAAATATAGTTGTCACTTAATATTTCCTTTTAGGAAATGATTTTTCTCTTTGCTTTCCCCACACTGTTTCCCCCAAACACACTCTGATAGCTTTGTGCCATCTGAGAGAGGCACAGTCTGTTGCATTCACTGGAGTGTTTTTATCTGAGAACAATGGAGCAGAGTGCTGGCTGGTGGGGGTCTGGCCCGGCTCTGACCTGCCCTGAGTTCCTGTATCTTTTGTACTCATAGCGTGAAGCAGCATGAACGCTACGGCCAGCTGACCCTGGTCAACTCTACTGCAGCTGACACGGGTGAATTCAGTTGCTGGGGGCAACTTTGCAATGGCTACATCTGCCAGAGGGACGAGGCCAAAACAGGTTCCACCTACATCTTCTTCACAGGTAATGTGTTTGGTACATTAGTGGAACTCTTCAGACTTCTGAACTTGGCCCAGAACTGGGGTTCCCACCATATGCCAAATAGCAAATAATGAACCAAGACCTCTCAGTGTTTAGGCTCTGTGCTAAAATGCTTTATGTCAATTAATTCATGTAAATATTACAACAACCCTTTATGTTAAGTATGAATGTTATTTCCATTTTTCTTTTTTTTTAATGGGAAAGTTGTGATTTAGAGAGCTTAAATACATTCTTAAAGTCTCATAGCAAGTACATGGATTTGAACATAGGATGGTCTGATTCCAGGGTCTGTACCTGTGCTGTTCAATATGGTAGCCACTGGGCAAATGTGGCTACCTAAACATAACTGAGTATTAATTAAAATTGAATAAAATTAAAAACTCATTTCCTCAGTCACACTTGCCACATTTTAATCACTCAGTTGTGACATGGAGCATTAAAGTGTTCTCGATCCATATTGGCCACATAGGAACATATCCATCACTGCAGAAAGTTCTATCAGATAGCCACGCTGTTGACTATTCATTACTGTGCTCTCAGAACCTATGACGGCCTCCTTTCTGAAGCCTCCATAGTCACAGGAAGCTTTGCTAAAGGCCTCTCAAATTTGTTCCTATGTGTACCCTGATCTGAGGTGTAAGGGGCAGGATTCCCAAAGGTTGTTGCTCCTGTGGCTCCAGCTGCAGTACTGAGCCTAAGTGAGGAGGCTGGAACATGCAGGTCACAGTGGAGAACTCGTCTCCTCTGTGCAAGGTGGAAGTTGCACTTTGAGAGACAGGTGTTGCAGTATGCCCGGCTTCCTCCACACATCCCCAACCTCCTCCTCTGCTGAGCCCTCTAAGCTCTGAAGTTAGAGGATGAACTTCTCCAACAAGGTTCAGAGGTCCAGAACAACTTTCAGGTAGCTTGCAAATCCCACCTTCTGCTGCTGCTGTTGTCCAAGGCTCTTCAGCTGAAGCCAGAATTCTTTCTTGGTGTGGGCAGGGTTTTCACGAGATTTGTCTTTATTCTGAATCCTTCTGCCTTTCAGACCTGGGGCTGTGACCCAAATGATCTTACACTCTGGCCATTAACTGATTAGCAACATCTCACGTATTTTTCCCTTCCTTCCCAAATAGCTCCTCCTTGACAAGATAATACACTAGCAGGGCATGCTACAATTCTAGAGGCACAGGTACCTCATTTCAGTTCCACGAAATCCCTAGGAAATGAGTAAAAGCTACTTCATTATCTCTGCTTTAGAGGTAATATGCTGATGCTGAGACTCAAAAAGGCAAGATGACTTTCCCAGTGTTCTTGTAGTGAGTGGCAGAGTAAGGAGTCAAACCCTGTTTCTCTGACCCACAATTCAGTGTTATTCCTGCTTTGAACCCGCCCTAGTACAAAGTGATTGGCGTACCGATAGATGGACAGATAGACACTAGCTAGCATCACTGGTTCTGGACAGGAGAAGTGCTAACAGATGTTCATAGCAATCCCTTCATGTCCTCATTTTGAAATATGCTAGACAGAATTTCCCTGTCCCTTTTGTATTATACCACACTAGAAAGCAACAGTGGAAAAGGCTACCAGTTAATATTAATACCAGCCTGTTATTCCAGACAAGTACAGGTGCCACATTTCAAGTTGCAGCATGAAGATTCTTTGCCAAGACTAGAACTGTTGTATCTTCTGAGAGTGTTGGGTTATGAACTGAAGGCTCCACGTGGACAGAATATCCTATTAGGTTTATGGGGTCTTTTTGAGTTTTGTAGGTGGGTTCTCTAAATTTCTGGAAGTCTTTTTGTAAGCCAAAAGAAGGCTAACGAATTGACGTTCAAGAAACCTGAGTCAGGAAAAGGAGGTAACCTAAAGTATTGTATTTTTTTTTTTTTAATTCCTCAGCACACCAAACTAAGAGTTCAATTCAGTATAGGATTTGGTAATTTCTATTTTCAAGTGTGGATGGGTTTGGAAGATGAGCTGTTACAGAAGCTGAGGTTCCTGCTGCTGGCTCCAGATTCCTTCAGAGCATATGCTCCCAGCTACCCATGTGGAAAAACATCTGCCATTCATTATATTTCATGTTTACTAGAGTTTGATTGAAAACACTGGGAGGCTTCCTTTTTTTGGGAGAGGGGTGGCATTGATTGTTAATTTGTTCAGTGTTTGATTAACTATATTTCCTCCTGGCTCTCAGAGGAATTTTCTTCTCTCTTCTCTTTCTATTGAAATATAACACACAGGAGGGAGGGGGCGGGGGGGGGAGGGAGCGGAGGAAGGGGGGAGAAATGACCCAAATTTGTATGCACATATGAATAAAAAATAAAATTAAAAAAAAAAGAAATATAGCATACATAAAGAAACACATTCAAATTCTAAGAATACAGCTTAATAAATTGTCCTCAAGGGAGCAGACACACAATAACCCCCAGCCAGATGGATCAAGGAGGAGGACATTGACAGCAGGAGGACTTTCTCATAGTAAAAGGCTTGGCAATAATTTTCATATGTATGGAAACCACATTTAACAAGTACTTTACTAAATACTGAGTTTGCTGTAATTTAGATTTTAGTTTATAGACTATTAACTTTAATTTTTTGGAACATAAAATCCAGTGTGTGTTTAGTTTTCTTAAAGTGATAAGTTACATGTGTGGATATAAACATTTTCAGGGGACATATGTGACCTATAATTTAAAAAATGATCTTCAACACTCTTCTCTTTGTAGATGGAAGCTACTGAATGCATATATATCTGTATATATATGCAATATATATTAAGAGTCAAACACTATTTTTCTAACCCATGATCCAGTGGAACTCTTCCTAGGACAAAGTGATGGGTGGGAATACAATCTGCATTTGTGGGGGGGTTTGTGGGTGTGTGTGTGAGAAAGAGATGCTGCAGATCAGACCCAGGGCCTTGTGTATGCTAGACAAGCTCTGTATCACTGAACTACATTCCCAGCCCCTATACATATATTTTAAAAGTGACTGGTAGAGTCACTTATTTCCAAGCATGTATTATACTACAAGAAATAAGGCACCATTTTTTGTTCTGAAATTTAGATTGTTCAGTAATTCTCCTGGCTTTGCTTATTGATTCAGATTATTCTACAAACTTAAAACAGATTTTCCTCTACAATTATAAAATTCTTAAATGTTACTGCTGAAAAGATATCTTTAATGTTATCTACTCCAGGTTTTTCTCTTAATAAATGGGGATGCTGAAGCACAGAGATTAAATGACATATGCAAGGACACGTAGACTTACTCTGTCTGAACACATGGCTGTTAGGCACAACAGTAGATAGGTATCCTTACCTAAGCCTGAAAGTCAATTTATAAAGTGACATAAATCACCTAGTCTGGTGGATATAAATCCTCGAAATGATGGAGACCCTTTGAGTCATGGCAGATTCATTCTTCCTGGAGCCAGAGAGAAGGCCTCCATGTTAGTGAACTTGGCACTCAGCCAAAGAACTCTTGGCCATGAAGATATTTCAGTTTGTTTCCAGTAATCCTGTGCCCTACCTAAAACATTACACAGCTGTGACACAGAAGGTTAGTAGAGGAGAAAGCCAAGAAAAATTACTTGTTTCAGGAACACTGCAAGGAAAACACAGGAAACAATTTAACAAGTGTTGTAGTGTGATTAGCCCCAAAGATTTCTCTCAGCAATTACTATAATATTCCCTCACAGAATGATTCAGAAAACAAAGGATTTAATGTGTCGTGCCAAACAAAACAAACAACACACGAGTGCATGGAAGAAACAAAATAAAAAGCCCAACTTGGAATCCCTTCACCATCCTAGAGACAGTTTGGGCAAGCCAGTTCTCATTTCCCCCCTTTTTGTAAGATAAAAATGCCACCATCCAGGGCCTAGAGAATCTGGCAGAGTGCTTTTTGAGAGTACAGGGGAGATAATACAATATTGGCTGAAGGTCCCCAGACAGGTAGTGGCCAAGTGGAGGACAGACTTGAGACCGGCAGGTTCTTCCTCTACTAGCCTTAACAAGCACTAGGTCCTCTGGGTTGGGAGGGCAGGGTGAGAACACCAAGCCTGTCACCGTGCTGGGCCCCAGCAGAACTCCCATGTGCTGAGAAATGCCTCCTAATGGGTTGTTCCTGACTGTAGGCTACGGGGCTAATTTTTCCACACAGAAGCAGCAGGTTATTTCAGGGTTTAAAAACTGCTTTTAACTTAGGGAAATCGGTTTCTTTCTCTGCTTCCTTGTTATAAGCCATAAATCTGATCTGGGTCAAACCAAAACCGTTTTTTTTTTCCTTTACAGAGATGGGAAATGCGTTAGGTAGCCTTCAATCACTGTAAGTACCTGAGATAATGGCCTTATAAAAAGAAAATGTTTATTTTGGCTTATTGTTTTGGAAATTCTGGTCCAAGAAAAATTCACCCCATTTCTTTGGTTCTGTGGTGAAGCAACATATCAAGGCAGGAGCGTGTGGTAGAGCAAAACTGTTCACCTCATGGTCAGGCAGCAAAGAGAGAGAGGCCAAGGTCCTACAATCCCCTTCAAGCATGCCTCCAATGACCAAAGGACCTCCCACTGGGCTTCACCACCTCCCAGTAGCCACCCTGGGGATTAGACATTTAGACTGGAGGACAGTCAACATCCAAACTACAGCAGGACATGAAATCATCCTTCCAGCTCTTTCTATTCATAAGGACCCAGTATCCTGAGCACATTGTCATTCCCCTATCATCTCTGTGCCCCCAAGAGTTTAAGAATTTACATTTCTCCAGAATAAATGAGCCCATGTCTTCCTCTTTGCAGAGAAAGGAGAACTCTTTGTGCCTTCTCCCAGTTACTTCGATGTTGTCTACCTGAACCCAGACAGAGAGGCTGTGGTTCCTTGTAGAGTGACTGTGTTGTCAGCCAAAGTCACGCTTCACAGGGAGTTTCCTGCCAAGGAAATCCCTGCCAATGGGACTGACATTCTTTATGACATGAAGAGAGGTTTTGTGTACCTGCAACCTCATTCTGACCACCAGGGGGTGGTCTACTGCAAGGCGGAGGCTGGTGGCAAGTCTCAGATCTCCGTGAAGTATCAGCTGCTCTACGTAGAGGGTAAGCCTACTTCCCCCCACCCTCTCCCACCCCAGGGCCCAGATCTCAGTCACTTCCAGCTGTCAGGTATCAGCTATTGCTGTTCCCATCTTATGGATGGACATAGAGATACATGCAATGCTGTTCTTGTAGGCTCCTCTACTGCCCTTCCTTGACTCATCCAATACCTCTCTACTCCCTTCCCTACAAATTTTTCCACTGTTCTCTCTGGTTCTGTCTCTTGTGTTTGATTAGCAAATCTCCTATTTCCCTTAGCCTCCCCTTAGAGCATCCTCTCGGCCACTTGTTTTAGGTAGAATCCATCCTCTAGGAGCACCATCCATTCTCCCCTTGAGGTCAGTGTCCTTCTTGTTTCCATTCTCATTTTCCCACCCTCACTCTCTCACCCTCCTCAGCCCTGCATGTGCTCCACCAACTTTCTCATCTCTTTTCCTGTCACTCCCAGCCACTCAATGAAGCACTTAGCTCACTGTCCTCCTTGATACTGCATTTTTAGGGTGATTTCATTGTCTACTTGTAACCCACTGGCCTGTTCACTGCTGGCCTCATCCACTTCAGACATCCCATCCCTCAGGTACAGCTTTAACACATCAGCCATCACAACTGCTCCAAAATAAGCATTCCAGAATTTAACCTCCATCTCTACTACAGACCCAACCATCCCAAGTTCATTCAGTGGCTGCTTCTGCACAGATTCTCACTTCTACTCTACACTTTCCACTATTCCCAGGGTTCTCCCACCCTCCCCATTCCGCCTGGCTTGGAGACTATGACTGTTTGATGCTCTGAATCCGTTGCCCCTCTGGTACTTTCCTCCCACCTGTACAGGAAAACACTCTTCCTAGATGAACACAGTTATGCCTTTTCTCCATACCCATACTGGGAGAGGCAAGAGCTGCAGGGAAAATCCCATGTTAGATAGGTGGTACCACTATAACCCCATGGTCTATAGCCCCACTTTCTAGCAGACCCTCATTTTTCCCAGTCTTTTCCACTTTCCAAATGTGTACTGTAAACCTGGGGTCCTCAAAAGGCTTCCTGCCTTATTTGCTTCCAAGTGGCCTCCATCCCTTCTGACAGAACTGAAATTTGATCAAATCCTCCATTAAAAGTGGAGTTTTAAAATGGGAGTAGTTTTTGATGGAGGAGTTTCAACTTAGTGCATTCATATATGAAATACTTTTTTCCTCCTAGTAATCAGTTCTGTTGTACTAAAACTCCCTCTCCTAGTAATGAGATCCTCTTAGTGATAGCTAAGCCCAATTTCACATCAAACAGGCATTATAGGCTAAAAAGACCTCATGCTGGTTCTAAAATTATTCATTTAATATTTTAACTCCACATTTGATCCAAAGCCTGCTCTACTCTGCTCAGCATGCAAGTTACTCCTGAGGGCAGCAGCTTGGAGGGTAAGAAGTCTAACCTCCCCTCCTCTCCCTTTCCTGCTGTGATGCTAGCCTGAGGGAAGGAGGAGAGATGCTGGAACCCCAAGGTGGTTGTCCCCTAGTAGCAAATGCTGACCTGGCTTGTTGTCTGTGAACTGGATGGGGACAAGAGGTGGCTCCAACACTTGTCATATATGATAAGAGACTCATCCCTAAGCAGCCCTCAGGGTGCATAGACCTTTCTTCAGATACAGCCTCATTCTCCTCTGGCTCCTCCACTGCAGGCCTTCTCTGTGGGCACTTCTTTGCATCCTACTGCAGTGTGGTCTCAGAAAGGTGGGAACCCTGCAATCTTTGTGTCCCTCTGGTTTTGACTGTTGAGCATGTGACAAACTAGAACTTCTCACCTTCTTGTAGTTCCCCACTCTCCCTTCTCTCAGGGCTTTTCTGCCCTGGGCTGATGGCTTACAGCAGAACCACATGCTGCATCCCTGAAAAGTGATTCTCTTGGGCTTTCCCTCCCTGGACTTCCTAGAGAGAGCAGTTTTCCCAGCCATGCTGCAAGTGAGGCGAGGCATGGTTTCTTTTGTGCACTACAGGCCTTCAAGATGACTTTTCTCTGAGAACTCATGTGCTGACAGGGGATGGGAGAGATGTGTGGGGGTGGAGAGAGTAGAGTTCCTTTTACTGTAGTGGTGCTTCTTAGACAGCCCTGTACAGAGATGCATGGCCCCAGAGCTAGTTCTCTAAAATCAGAATTTGGGTTCCTTGATACCTCCAATTTGCAATGGGACTTATTCAGTAGGCATGTCTTGAACACTCTCTAACTCTCACAACCCTTCTTAGAATACCCTCTGGTCTTGGTTAAGGCCATCTTTCTCTCTCCCACCACAAACTCCTAAAAGACTCTCTCTATTACCTGTCTCCATTTCCAATTCTCCCACCCACCCCTCAGCCTACTCCCATTCATTCTTGCCAATGCCCTCAGGGCCACCCATGTCATTAACTCCTGCAGGCAGTATTTGCCCTCATCCTACCACATTCCACCTGTCCTGCCTGAACCCCCCTCTTCCCTGGCTCCATTTCTCACTCTGCTTGGTCAGCTATTTGTCTTCTCTTTTAAATGTTGGAGTTCCCAAGATGCTCTTCTTTTTCACCCCTTGATCTCTTCCTGGAGTGTCGCTTCCATATCCACAGCACCATTTCCTATCTGTACCCTAATGATTCCTAAATGAGCATCTGTGGCCCAGAGCTGGGAGTACCAGTTCATGTGTTCAACCAGTGTCTAGGACTAACAGGAATACCCTTCTAACTAATCCCCCTCTGTCTACCTTCTCTTTCTCCAATCTATTCTCCAACTGTTGTTGATAATTAAATCATTCTGTAGTTCCCATTTTTTCTAGACCACAGTCAAAATCCTCCGCGTGACCTGACAGTCTTCTGTGACCTACCCTGCCTTTGCCTGCCTCACTAGCCTGTTCTGGTTCCTCTCTGCTGCCTTTCCAGACCCTCTTCCGCTCAGGGCCACCCCATCTCACTTCACAAGCTTTACACAAGGATTCATGGCCTGCCAATACCGTTCTCTCTTCCCAGATATTTTAAGCTCACCTCTGAGATTTTACACTGGATATTACTTCCTCAAGGAAGCCTTTTTGGCTCTCAAACTATTCCGAACTCTCCAAGCATTCCCAGCTTCTTCATAGATCCTCACACAGTCAAATGAACCACCCAATTACTTGCTTAGTGGCAGTCCCCTCCACTGGAATATGGGCACCAAAAGCTCAAGAGCCCAAGCCTGTCTTATTTGCTTCTGTGGTCCCAGCTCCTCACACGTGACCTTAGTTGAGGCTACCATCAAAATTACTTGAGTGAACTGACCATAACGAAGAAATAAGTTTCTGAAATGCTATAAAGGGAAAACACTTGTGTCCGTCCTGCAGACATCTTTCTCATTTGTGTATTTAGACCTCTTCTTTCCATGGATGGATGGTTACACACCTGTCTTTCCACCTTCACATCTCAGACACTGCCGTCCAGCCTGCCTTCGAGATGTTCTACTTGCTCTTTCCCCAAGTATCTTCTTCCCCCTTACCTTTATGTTCATCTGACCCTTGGACTGTTAGCTCCTCTCGATTCCAAGCATGATGGCCCCACCTTAGAGTTCTGGATGATCACCCCATTCCGGGCCATCAAGTTTGAGAAGCAGAGGTGGCTTCAAAGCAAACCAAGAGAGGTGGGCTAGTGTCATCTGCTGCTGGTTATGAAGCTGTAAGAAAGGCAGAAACATTATATCTATCTCCAAAGGAAAGAATATGCCTGTGGGCCGGGTGCCAATGGCTCGCACCTGTAATCCTAGCTATTCAGGAAGCAGAGATCAGGAAGATTGCAGTTTGAAGCCAGCCTGGGCAAATAGTTCACAAGACCCTATCACAAAAAACTGGGCTGGTAGAGTGGCTCAAGGTGAAGGCCCTGAATTCAAGCCCCAGTTCTAAAAAAAAAAAAAATATATAGTGTGTGTGTGTGTGTATATATATATATATATATATATATATATACACACACACACACACACATGCCTGTGGGTTTGTCATTAAATGTCATAGATCTCATCTCACTATCTCCTGCTTACTTCCAGTTCCCAGTGGTCCTCCATCAACCACCATCTTGGCCTCATCAAACAAAGTGAAAGGGGGGGATGACATCAGTGTGCTCTGCACTGTTCTAGGGGAGCCTGATGTTGAGGTGGAATTCAGGTGGATCTATCCAGGGCAAAAGGTAAGCGCCACATCTCAGCCTTAGTTGATGGTTGTAATGCACAGTTTTGACCCCACCCAGTGACATAAGCCATACCTTAAGTGCAAGAAATAATGTGGCACTATGTTAGGAGCCAGGACATGCTTGCTTTCTTCTGCTTCAGTATATTTACAAATGACTTTTTTTGAAGGACAAGAAAAAAGTGAATGGTTCTATTAAGCAATTCACTCAATGTATCTGCTTCATATGTAGTTTTTCCTCATCACCCCTAATTAAGAATGGGACAGTGGTATAAAAGGAGGTACCACCCTCTTCATTCCTCACCTGTTAATCTTCAGTCCCATCCTCTGGGTCTACTTGAGGCTAACCTAACCTCCCTCTGAAATCCTTCTCAATATTCTCTATCCAAGTCATGTTCTGTGGTTAGGAGCTCCGAGCAGATATCCACAAAGTGGGCACTTAAATATAAGCCCTGTCACAAAGGTACTGTGAGGCCAGAGACTATTTAAAAATAGACTTTCCATAAAAGCAACTACAGCATATTTAGCCTTTGTGGATGTTCTGCTTACTGAAATAAACAGCTCTGCTACCAACATGGAATAATTCCTTTGTTGCCAGAAGAGATTTTGCTTCCTGAGACAAACTCAGTAGCCAGTATGCTCCTGGCCTAAGAGCTGTGATGAGTGGAAGGTATCCCTAGGGAATAGTATTTTCTGGCATCCTGGTACTTGTTTGAAAGTACACACTTAAAACAGTTAATGATTTTCAACAGATGGCTATGCTTTTTACATTATTAATTGGCACTTTATGAACAGAAAAAGTATTAGTATTATAAATACTGCTTTTATTAAATGAATTCAGACTATGCTCTAATCACCAAAGTTGGCTGAAATATCTCAAGTGTCTCTTTCTAGAAAGGGAGGTCATATGGTCAGAGCATTATTTTATTCATCCTTGGTACAATTTTTCTCCCTTTGGAGTCCGAAGGACCATTTTGCCTAATCACACTTTTCCCTCTCCCAAATCTGAGCCATCAGGAGGTCACTAATACAGTGAGTGCTGTTAGCTTCTAACTTGAAATTCTGTAAGAACCACTTAGGAGTGAAAATGGGCAATGTGAAAATAGGAACATTGGAAAATTTTGTCCCTGTTTGTATGCTTAATAACCCAGCTTCATTTGGAATTCCAAAAGAATATATTTTATATTAAGTAGAAACTTACTGAACAACAGAAAGAAATCACCAAGTAGCATCCTGAAATTCAAGACTGTTTGGAAAAAAATGCAGCCTTCAATGATTATACAGTGAAAAAGCTCCCAGAGCCTATGAGCTCTGCATACCAAATAGTCTTTTATAAGCATGTGCTTTGCACTTTGAAAGAAGCATTTGGTGGTGATGTGAGCATAGGAGCTGTTTAGAGAAGCTTGTCACTCGTTTCAGTCTGTCTGGGTGTCGTTATATAGGATGAAAGGCCTGTGATGATTCAAGACACTTGGAGGCTGGTCCACAGGGGAGTCGGACACACCACAAGAATCTCCCAGAGTGTCATCACTGTTGAAGACTTTGAGACTATTGATGCAGGATATTATATTTGCACTGCTCAAAATCTCCGAGGACAAACTACAGTAGCTACCACCATTGAGTTTTCCTGACTTGGAAAGTAAAATATAATCAAATATAATGAACTGATGGAAAGCCCATCTGCATACACAATTGGCTTCAGAGATCTGTTTATTAATGCTGTCCCAGAAGCCAATGTCAAGTGCTAAGTGCCTACCCCTGCCTCTCCCTTTGGAGTCAGACAGACATCCAAACTAAAAGGAACTCATCAGTCTATTAATAGAAGTGTTAACTTTTCTAACAGAAAGCATGTCCTCTGATTGCTTACCTACATCCATGTGTTTCTAGTTTTTATACTAAGAAAGCATGCATATCAATAATTTTACATAATCATTAAATGAGCAAGTTTTTATAAAAAATTAAAAATGGGCTATGTGCTTGTTTTTTAAGTTGTCTTGAAATAAATCCAAAAGGACTTGTTGGCAGCAATACTTGGGTCAATACCTAGTATTCTCTTTGATATTAGAATTTTAAAATATAAGATATATAGTTCAACTCCTTATCCAAAACTAGCAACTCCAGATTCAAATGTTTGGACATGTTACTTTATCTCTGGTAGCAATTTTAAAGCTAATGTGAGTTATTTAGGAAGGGATCAAAAAATCATATATACTTAGTTTTATATTGAAACTACCACACTCAAAAGTACTAATCAGATACATCTGTTCAGAACTAGAACGTGTGATTTTTTTTTCAAGTTTAACTTTTAACAAAATAGATGCAGATTATGGAAGATTTAACTTTGTCTAAACCCATTCTTCAAAAATATTTAGACCACAGCCATCCCAATTTTCTTATGTCACACCAGTCAAAAATTTTCTCAAAATACATGTCTCTGATTTTAGCAAAGCTTAGCTCTGTGAGCCAAATTTCAGCCCATGACAAATTCTGTGGCTGCTTTGGAAATTCCTATAAAAAAGCTTGAGAGACACAATCTTAACTACCATGCTAGGAGACTGGCTATACACATAACATTTTGAAGAGTCAAGTATGTCAGAGGATGCAATTCTTATGTTGAGTATTCCAGCATTATTTATTTGACCAAAGTAAAATACACTTTCCGTCACTATAAACTGAGCACAACTACCATTGTTCACACATCCCATATTTTTATGATGTGCCAACATTTTGCATCCTACATAAAACATTTGGTTTGAAAAAAATTAAAAGCTTTCCATTTCATTTCCTATTTTTTCTCCAGTTGTCTTTCATTCTCTGAAGACATTTTATACTAATTGCTGTAAGATTTATTTCCCAGATACCTAAATGATTCTGAGGACAGCAGGAAACAGCATGAAATTTACCATGCTCAGGGATGAATGGCAAACCCAACTTTGGCTAATGTCATTGAGAACAACTTGGGAGCAGGAGTAGCTACTCCAGGAGGTGGCAGTGAACCTACATTCCCATTCACTGGAAGCAAACATGGAAGGTTACATATGTAATAAACTCCTGGAGGCTAAAAACTTCAAACACAATCACTAATAAAAAAAACATGCATTATGAATACCAATTCGCTATGTAAGTGTACATGTACATGATGACTCAAATATCCACCTCTAGTATCCTCAATCTGTTTTTACTCTAGGGGTTATTTGCACAGCCATCAAACGCAGATTAGTAAATACTGACTTCACAATATTGACACATGCAAGGGAGAGGGGGAAAGACACAGATGTCCTTTCACCTGCCCCAAAGTCTTAGAGCTAGAGCTGGAGGTGGGGGAGGTGTCAAGTGAAACTTTGAAAAGAAATTCAAATGCAACTTGGAAGAGAGTTGTACAAACCACATCTGCACTCATTGGCTGGCCATTCTGCTACTTTTCCAAAGACAGAAGGAGTGCTCAAAAGGTATGCCAACACTCACAATCTCTCTCTTAGACTGTTTTATTCTGTTGAACCCTTAATCATTGACTTAATCAAGGTGCTTCCAATTCATTTGTCCATGCTGAATCCTATCTAGCCAATGACTCCTTTTCCTCATTTGTTTTCCCTAAAATTTGCAATATCAGATGCAGGCCTTAGTTTATTTGGGAAATGGGTTCAGCACCTTAAAGATGAGCTGGCTCCGGAAAAGCATATTCCTTTACCTTTGTCCCAGAGAAAAGTAGGTAAGAGGTAGAAGGTTTGCTTTTGTGGCTATAGATGACAGAGAAAGGAAAGGGATAAATGAGGAAAATGGGAGAGAAGATGAAGGTTTAAATCTGTAAGGACAGCTTAGATCAAGGTAAGAATAAGGCAGAATAATCCATTGGTACTGCCCCCACCTTTTCTTCATAAAGTTTTTTTGTTTTGTTTTTAGAAAAATTACGGTTCTACTTTTGCTCATAGCCTGAGAAAATGCATCATAGAATAGTATTAGGCTCACAAAAATCTACCTAGTTTCAACTGACAGGGCTGAATATTGAAAAACAGAGAGAAAAAGAGAAATGTATAGACAGTGACAAGTCAAAAAGTTTTTCCTGTCATACTCTCTACCTGCCATATCACAGGGCTGAGTGGAGTTGGTGGTAAATAACTGTAACTCAAGCAACTATTGCTTTTTCTTCTATGGCTTTTGTTGAAATGTGTATACTGACTATGACTTGATTAGTACATATCCATCGATATTTAGCTTTTGATCTTTAATACACAGCAAAGAAGGCTGCACCAGACACAAGACACTCTCTTACTTCCATTTCATTCACACACCCCAATACAGTCAAGACGGAAATAAAAATCACAAGAAGGTGTCTGTGGTGAAGAACATTATAAAGGTTATAAATTTTTATCTTAATAGGCCCCTGAGAGTTTTTCCCCTTATGCTTAGGTGAAAAAAGGCAAAAGAACAAGATTCTCTCATTCCTTAAGTGCTTTGTGCAACAACGTCTACTTCAATTCCAAAATCTTTTTGGAGGAGGTTTTTAGACCAAGTCAAAAGTCTTCCTCCAGAGGTCCCGTCTCATAAGTAGCCGGTTCTGGTGGTGATTGCTTTCCAGTTATCCTGCAGGAATTCCATGAAAGCCAATGTCGTTCTTGCTCCCATGATCCTGATGAGTCCTGCAGACCTGCATCCCAATGCTTTTGGAGAGTCTCTGGGCTTTCAGAAAGTGTCATCTGGGTGAGACAGTGGGGCTGGGGAAGGAGCCAGAATTCCTGGGTGACTGAAAAGGGATAGCTGAGGATGTGGGAGATCTCTTGGGACTGCACAGGTCCCCATTGTGCAGCTTCCACAGCAGCTCCTCGTTTTCCATGGAGAGCCGTTTGTTGACCTTTGACTCCTTCTCCAGGGACTCCTGCAGCACAGCTTGCTCAGTGGAAAGTTGCCTGAAAAATGGAAAACAGAAACTGTGAATCTAAGTTAAAAAATAACTCATTTTTTTTCTTGCCATTTTAAATTGGGGAGTACAAAAACCAATCTCTGTGGAAGACAACAGAGTCCTGCATAGGATCGCAAGTTTTAAGCTGGCTAAGAAACCCAAATACTGGAAGCATCAGCCTGAGATGCCAAAAGACAGAAAGAAAGAAATGTACATGTATTCTAGATGTTTTCTGACTATCTTAGTTTTGGGACTATTTTCTATTTGGTTTTGTGTTATTTTTTCCAAAAACATTCTCCAGAGTCAGTATGCCAGGGGTTCTCAGACAAAGCTTGCTTGCTTAGGTTGCTGTGTTTGGTCCAGACCACTTTGGTAGAAGCATGACCTGCAATCATCATATTTTCCAGATGGAAATTAGTGGCTCTTTACCCACTTTAATCACATTTCCAGAAGGCACATGGTGGAGTATGGTAAGAAGGAAATACTAGATATTCAAGGATTGGAGGAGCTCAGGAAAAATACCTCGAAATTGCCATATGCTTATCCATTCGAGCTTTTAATTCCTCGTTCTCCTGCTGGAATCGCTTCAGTTTGTCAACCAATGCTGTGTTGTTGTCCACCTTGATGTAAACAGGAAATCTGACATTTATACAGTACTAACATAACAGATAAACTCTCTGAAAAAGTCACATTTCTGATGCAAGCACACTTTGGAGACATTTAATTAGGGAAAATTCAATAGCATACTGAAATATTTATACACTGACACACTGTAAAAAGAATGTAAACCAGCAAAACACATACACCAGGCCACTTAAAAGCTGACACACCCAGGTGGTAGCTTTCTTGTTCCAGATCACATTTTAAAGGTCCCTCTCCCAAGAACTTGTCCCTTGCCTTGGGTGACCATGGGTGCTGGGCCTCTTTCCCTTGCAAGGTGGTAAAGCAAAAACTGCAGATAAACAGCCTGTTTATAGCAGTTCCCACATCTTATGGTGAGTTTTATGAGAACCAAAATTCTCACATTTGATGGAAACTCATAGGTTAAGAGTTCATAGTTCCTGGCCATGTCAAATAAGACCTTAAACATACTTCAGGGTTGCTTTTCAGTATTTACCTCTGCATAGTCAAAAGTACAATGCAACAAAGCTGTGTTGAGTATTGAACAAAAGAAAGAACTCTACACAAGGCCTCTCTTCATTTCAGTTGAAGGTAATTTTTTTGTTCTCCTGCTGGCCTGCCCAGGCTAAACTTTCACAGAGAACAAATTGATCAATTGAGAGATTAAAGGATAAGATCCCTGAAGATATTTAATCACTGAATATGATGGAGAGCTGATTCCATCCCAGCTCACTTTCCAAAGATATGATTTTATTACTTGAGATACAACATCACAGTTCAGTCAGAATTAATCCCAAGTCTCTATCATACAGCGTATGACTCATCTACTGTGATTAAAGCACCTAGTTTGGAGCCCTGTTGTTCTTTCACATATCCAGAAAATGCCCAGTACAAGCCATTATGGTAAAATAACTTTTCAGAAAATGACTTTAGAATAAAAGGAAAAAGGGTCATTGAAATGCTTAGTAATTATAAAGGAATTCAAGATAAAAACATGAGACAAAAAAATTCTGGAATTAGAGACAGGGTGGTGATTGACCTTATAACATCATCCCATCTAACTCATTTTATAGAAACAAAAACTAGATTTGGTTATGTCACACAGATAATTATTGGCTGGGCTTGTTTTATAACAGTTTTCTTTCTTAGACAACCTCTTTATGCCTACTAAGTACCTTAACTTTTTCAAACATCTGGGACTCTTACAAATAAGTAAGGTAGCAGTGTGTGTACCTGTCATCATAGCAACCTACTCTGCTACACATATAACAACTGATGCTGATGCTGACTGATATGGTCATGATACCTTTTTTGGGTGTGGTAAGAATCAGAGCTATTATAGGTCAACAAAAATTAAAACATGTTGGTATTTTTACAGCAGGGTTTTTATTACACATGACCTTCTGAGAAGTTTTGATGATGAATGGCGTATGGAACAACAACTTATTAACAGGGTTCTCTGAGTCATCACAGACTGCCTGATTAGCAGAGATGCCAAACTGGCAGAACAGGATGACCTTTGGCAAGACCTGGTACATCTACTAGATTGGGCCCATTAACAACCATGAGCTCCTGGCATTCCTTAAAAAAAAAAAAAATTCAAGATTTCCTGATAAAACAAAATGCCTATAATTCACATAGGGGCTTAGCCATTACCGTCTTAAAAAAATCAATCTACAGTGTTTTTGATCAAAATCTTCTATAGTCTACAGAAGGAAACCAAACCAAACTAAACCAAACCCCCAAACTACACACACAAAAAGCCAGAGTGACTTCTATGCTCCCTATTGTTCAGGGATGGTCTGAGTTTGAATGAGGCACTTATTCAAGGAATGAGTCATTGGCAACTGGGCGGAGAAGAGGCAAGCAGTGCTAGGCGGCTGGCAAGGTAGGAGAAAAGTTCAGTGACAGCTGGGATCACTTAAGCTGCCTTGCTAAACCCTGCCAGCTTGGTTAGAGTCCTGGCTAGTAGCAGCTGTGTTTCAGGACTTGGCCAAGACAGACACTGACACTGTGCTTGCCTCTCAAACACATAATGCTGGGTAAAATCATCATGCACAAACATCCGTTCTCTGTCCTAGAAGCTGTAAACTAAATTTTATTCCTGTCTTTCATGATGCTTGCTGTTTGTCCAACTAGACTAATCTTATTAGAGCACAATTCTTTTTATCATATTCTAACTCATAAAAGGAAGGCTGAAGAATTTAGCTTCAATATAATCTATCTAAATTTGCATATATAACGGAATGTATGCATCTAACTGTTCTATAAACCTCCCCAGAGTTTGTGGTAGATTAAAATACTGAATTTATATTATTTAAACATTTTCCTTAGGCAGGTGGAAATTCAGAGACTATTGAAACATGGTGAGCCTGATTTGTTTATTGGAGTTTCTCCAATAATCAAATGCTACTACACATTCCTCAAAAACGAACATTCTAGAAGGCAGCAACAAATCTGCCTTGAATAAACTTGGAAAAGAAAATACAGCTTTTACTGTCTGTATGATTTCCAAATGTCTTTAAGCGTAGTTAACCTAACTCCACAATTCTAAAGCTCAGAGCTCAGTCCTTCTTTCACAGGTATTACCCTGTTTCTTTGTCTTTTTTTTTTTTTTTTTCAGTGGTACTGCCTTGTGAACTTCAGGTCTTGTGCTTGCTAGGCAAGTGCTTTACCACTTGAGCCATTCTATTACCCCATTTGAAAAGAGACTCAATCTACTGCTGAAGGAGACATACCAGCTTCTCCATCTTCATTAACTTGATGTCCTGTTGATGCAGTTTCTCATTCTTGATCTCTAACACAGCTTTCAGGCTTTCTAGTTCTTGCTCCAGATACATGATCTGAGGGTTTTTCTGGAAAGGACACTGCTCTTAGTTCACATAATCACAGAGCCCAAACTCTTAAAGAATCTTTTATTAGATTTACACATTAGATAAACAAGTACTGAGTGACTTCTTCCTTCTTACAGTAGTTTCAAAGATCATTTTAATCTCAAAGACCTTGGTCATGATATTGAAAACAAATATTCCACTCATTTATCAGTAACCCAATAGGGAAAATATTGGTTGCATCAAACATGTTATTGGAAACAAGAGCAAAACCATGGCTTACAATACAAAACAGAGTGCTGGGTGAATGTTAGGCAACCTACAAGTCTCAAACTGGTATATGGAGGGAGAAAAGTTCTCTCTAAACAAAGCTAGTGCCTGGTTTGAAAACCAAAGGCAGTCACTAATAGGGCTCTCTGGAAAACTACAGATAAAAAGTCTCTGGATTTTCTGTATGTTGGTTCTATGTTGACTTGGCCATACTTCTAGGGGATCTGTAACACTACCATTTTGTGTTGTGACACCCCAACACCTACATGGCATATAGCACACAATCTTCTAAAATTCTCCCCAGAATGAACATTCATGAGGGGAGACACCTGAAGCATACCACCAGTATGAATCCCCCTTTGCTTTATTGATGGAATTTCAATTGAATCATCCAAAATTTTGGTAACAAATCAACAAGATCTATTGATCAGATGTTTAATGATGGAATTTCTTCTCTTTTGGCTTTTTGAGGCATGATCTTACTGTAATGACCCAGACTAACCTTGTATCCCAGGCTGGCCTCGAAATCAATATTCTCCTGCCTCAGCCTTGGAGGCCAAAGTGGGCCACCAGGAGTAACAGGGGTGCACCATCATGCCCAGTTAATGACAGAATTTCTTAGTAGGATACAGTGGTTTGGATGATCCAAACTACTCTCTGTGGCAGTGGTTCCTTCTGGAAAACTTCTTAGAATCAGGGAACAGGTTTTGAGTGTTACTGAATCCGAACCTTCACACCCCTTACTCACAGAAAAGGAAACGTGTTTGACTCACTCAAAAATGGTCAGGAAAGGTACCAGAGCTTGAAAGGGTCAGGATAGGGACTAATGCCTGGATCTTCAACTCCAGAATATAATGTAGTCCTTTTAAGCAAGGTTTTGTTTTGGTTTTTGGCCTTGAAAAACCAAATGACATATTTGAGGGGAATGACATAATGTCCTCTGTCAATTTTTAAATAACAGCTTTAACAGCCTATACCATGTCCATCTCTTTCTGCTTTTCTGCTAGCCTGTCCCTTCCAACTCCACTTACATGTGCTTTCCTTTTCTCCAACCCCCACGCTGAGACAGGGAAGCACTGCATATTACTGCTCCCCTCTTTCTTCTTCCCACTTAGCTTTTTCAAAGCTGGCTGCAGTAGGAGGACCCCTTTCAAAACTTGTTCACTGAGCCATCGGCCACGTCTATACTCTGCGTGTAAGTCTAGATCTCTTTTGAAAGCACTGACTTTTCCTAAGAACCTTCCAAAATAAGTAGCTTTTAAATTTCCTTGAATGTGATCTCATCTCATGTTATCAAATGTCTAAAGGGTCACCCAATGATACCAGCAAAATATCTCATTGAGAGATCTACACATGTACTCTGTGAGCTGGCACAGATTTTTAGTGGGAAAAAAAGCTTTACTTCTCCAGTCCCAGAGCACAAATACCTGCAATAAAAAACAATGGTACCAATGACAGAAACAGTAAGAAAAAAAATTTCTCAAAAAGGAGATGGAAGAGGCAGGACAGTAAGGACACATATTTCAAGGAAAAAATCTTGAAAAATTGGTTTTTCAAAAGTGATGTTTATCATACAATGAAAGATTCATAAAAGGAATAAAGTGCTGACACGTTACTGTATGAATGAGAATTGAGAACAATATGCTAGGTGAAGATGATGATCACAAAAGCCACATACTGTATGATTATTTATATGAAATGTCCAGAATAAGCAAATTCACAGAAATGGAAAGTAGGCGGGTATTGCTTGGTTCTGGGGCATTTGCAGGGAGATGGGGAGTGACTGCTGATAAGCAGAGGGTTTTTTAAGCGGATAAAAATATTCCAGCCTTAAGATATTGGTGACAAATGGCCAACTTTATGAATATATTAAAAATCACTGTGTTGTGCACTTTAAGGTGGTTTGAACTATGCAGTGTGTAAATTACATTGTAATACAAAGGTTATTAACAACAACAAAAAAGTAAGATCTTTACATAAAACCCCAGCCCTGATTTTCTTTTAGGTATTTGGTAAGACCACCCAAAATATATTAGATTTCATCTGTATGTCAGTTTTTAGGATATATAAACAGACACCAGTAAACAAAGAAGCTGTTTTATATAGTTAAAGAAAAAAAAAAACCCAGAAACACTGCAAGACCTGAAGAGGATTCTAAACCTGCCTTTTTTCTCTGGGTGATCACTTAAATTGACTCTAAAAGGCAACTGAACAGAAGAAAATTGTAGTAGTAGCAACAGAGGAACATGTAACTTACTAAATTTGCCTTCTCTCTTGATATTCTTTTTTGTTCTTCTGATTTCAACTTCTCATTTAAAGCATCATTTTCACTCTTCAGATCATTGATTTGTTTCTAGAACACAAATGATGGCATGTGGAACACACATTCATAAGCAGATGGGAGAAACAGAGCAAAGGTACACAGACATTCACCAAAACCACAGAACATCGAGAATAATGATTTTTGGGAAGGCAGGAAGAGTACCGAGATTCACCCACCTCTAGCGATTCCTGCTTCTCATACAGCAAATCCTCAAGTGACTTTTTTTCCATTTCATGGCTTTTCTTGATTTCTGGAAAGAAGGGACATTTTGGGGGACAAAGACACTCCATAAGATCACTGTACTCCACAAATGTTCTGGCAGATAGATGCTGGAATCGATTATGAGGTTACGACTCTGTTACTTTACTGTATGATGCTTGCAGATAAACTAAGCAATCTATTTTCAGAATGGCCTAACAAGGTGGGCAGGGCAGAGATTCTCGTTTTATGACTGGAAGCACTGAGGCCACAGAGGCCAAGAGACCTTAGAAAATATAGAACGAAGGGCAGGGTATCAATGCATGAGTCTCAGACTCCTGGTTTGGAGCCCCTGTGCTCCTTGCAATTTGCTCTTGCTGAATCAAACAGAAGTCTAAAATTAAGCTCAGTCCTATCAGGAAAAAGGAACACAGTTGTTTACTAAATGCCTATTTTACCTATCACCATCTATGATGTCACACACTTCTATTTTTCTTATGAGAAAAGTCCCTGCCAAAAGTCACAGTCAGTTCCTACTATGTGTCCACCATTATGCTACTCTGTAAGCTGCAACTGGTTTGGTCCAAAGACTTCACTGACTGCCTTCTGAAATAAGTGGCTTCTTGTTCTTTTTCTCCTTCTGCAATCTTTCTGCTGATGGTGATAGGAAAGATAACAACAAAAGATTCTTTCTTTATCCAACAAGTGCCATCGATTCATCACCACAGTGCTGGTGTAGCATGGATCCTGTACAGTAGCCAGGTTATAAACTGACACTTTCGATTTCCCAGAAACCTAAAACGGCAACCACAACCAGCACCAAAAAGGATTTTCAAACCTTTAAAAATTCATCCTACTTCCTAAAAAACTGGCATTCATAACAAACTATTATTTGTATCCTTGGGGGAGAGGGCATCCATTAATAATGAACAATTGAAAAAATAAACCAAGAACCCTGTAAGCTAAATACCAGAGTTATTAATCATTTCCATTTTTAAAAAATATCAGGCTTTTCCATTATATCATTTTCTGTTTAAGTAACCAAAAGCATCCTTGCCTGAAAGGGAGGTTTCATAGGCCTTCTTTAGCAGTTCTACTTTCTCCGAGTGGCTAGCTTCAATTTCCAACTTAGAGGTTTCATGGGCAGCATTTAAGTTGTCGAACTATAAGAAACAAACAAAAGGATAGCTTAACCATAAAACTCAGAGTCCTGGTTGAGTAACCCAGCAGCAAACTGGGTTTGGTTTGGGAAAGGAAACTTTTCACATAAGCTTCTATTCGTGTTTAAGGGCAACCTAACACACGTAAAGAACAACCTGACTTGGATTTGTGACTCCCACAGCTCCATTCTATCCTCCCAGGATCACAGATCTGCAAGCTCTGTGTGGTTCACTGATGGCCAGAGCTCAGTCCATCAAAAGGAGGAAGTGTTCACAGAGACAGGGCCACCTAAGCCTCATGACTGTCACACTGACCACTGCATCCTCAGCTCCTAGCACATGTCCAGCATACACAACTAGACACTACGTAAATATTTGCTAAATGAAAACTAAGCTCAAAAAGGAGCAAGAGAATTAAAGAGTCTTCTGATATACTAATAAGTAGGAAAAATGTGTTATTAAAAAGTGTCATTAAAAAAAAAAAGAGCACAAAAATAGCTTTCTAACACAATACCAGGGTGCTTCTGGATAGGATAATTTTATCTTTTCCTTCTTTCTTTTTTTCTTTTCTCCGTAGCTTAACCTATGTACATTGCCTTGATCACAAGAAAAAATTCAATCAAAAAAGCATTTTACCCGGTAAACTAAAAGGCAAAGAGAAGCTTAAAATGTGAGCAACAATCACAACTCCAGTGGTCAGCCATGGGGGGAAGGAGGGAGAAATGACCCAAACATTGTATGCATATATGAATAAAAGAAAAAAAAATTAAATTAAAAATTAAAAAAAAAAAAGTGGTCAGCCACACCAGAGAACATGCTCCAGTCTTGAAGCACAGACCTGCTCCTGCAACTGGGTTTTATACTTCTCTGCTTCTTCAATGTAAATGTTCTGAAGCTTCTCACACTCCCAGTGTAAAATTCCTTCAGCCGATTCTCCAGCTCCGTCCGATCTGTCTGGTGCTGCTGGTTTAGCTTCTGGACAAATCCTTCATATGCTATTTGCAACTCATTCCTGGCCTTTTCTAATTTCTCACAGGTGGTGGAAGCAGCAACTAGTGAGGTAGAAAAGAGAAGATGCCATTTGTTTAATATCCTAATCTCACAATGTTCACATGCCATTGTGATGCCTGAGGGAGCACAAACACAATAAGGCCTCAATTCTCCCAGAGCTATAGTCTGCATAGGAAAGGTTCCCCAAAGGCCCATCTGATAAAGGAAAATGGTGCCATCAGTCCATGGTGCCACTGGGAGGTAAAGAAACCTTTAAGATGTGGGACCTAGTGGGAATTCTTTGGTCAATGGGGCAAGCCCTTGAAGGGGGAGAGTGGTCCCCACAAGTGAATTCCTCCTTCCCCCTTCCATTTCCCGATCCTCACTCCATGCATTCCCTCCCTACCATAGTGTGCTGCCTCACCTCAGGCCCAAAGCAGTGGGCCCAATTAATTATGGGCTGAAACCTCCAAAACTGTGAGCCAAAGCAAACCTTTCTTCTTCATAAGTTGATTATCTCAGGAAAAAAACACCCAAATAACCACAAAAGACCCCCCAAAACTATACCAAGCAATAAGAGAAGTACTCAAGAACAGCAGGGTTTCTCAGTAAAGATCACCCTTTGCATGATGACCAATCAGTACAGTGGCCACAGGGAAGTGCCCCAGATTGTTCAAGACATCTCAAATGTCTTCATTCATGATCAGCCAGGGGTACAAGCTAAGACAGAGGAACAGGAATGATCACACAGAAGAAACAAACAGACTCTGAACTTGTACTCAATTCAAGCTGATTTCAATTCATCATTTAAAAATTACAGCAATGATCTGAGCATGGGAGTGCAGGTCTGTACTCCACTTGGGGGGCTGAGGTAGGAGGATCACAAGTTTGAGTTCAAGTGAGACCTTCAAAAAAAGATATATATATATATATATATATATATATATATATATATATATATACATGTGGGAGTATATATACACACATATATATATGCTTACATATAGTAATAAAAACAAAACATCAGTACATATTAAACACCAATTACTAAGAGCATAAGCCTTTTAAAGCTTTTTAAAAGCTCCAATAGCTGATGGAGTGGCTCAAGTGATAGAGTGCCTGCCTAGCAAGCACAAAAAAATAAATAAAAGCTCCAATATAATATGAATAAATTGAAAGTGAAAGTATTTTTAAAAGGTGAAGTAATTTGATGCACACAATTTAAAATCAGAGCATCCTATCTTCTTCCTCACAACCACCAAAAATTGAATTTCTCATATGTAATATATTGGAGAACATATACATAGATGTATTTACACACACTGTAGTAAATCCTATTACCTCAAATTTCTCAGGAAGCTTGACTTCAAGCTTTCCCAGCCTTCCTTCAACAACATGCAAATACAGGTGAACTGAGCACTGTGACTTTCAGGAGGGTGTGTGCTCTGAACATCCCAAAACGACCATGGATTAATATAAAACAGTTACTGGTAAATCTGTCAAATTAATACTTCTCTTTTTGTTAAGGATTTATATTTCAGGAGTTGTAACAGGAAAAAAGACTATTTGATGCCAGAGAAGTGGATAGTTCAAACCAATGATTACTCTACCTAAGGAATATAAACTTGGCTGATTCCTGGGATGAATTTCATATAATAGCACAGACTTTTCTCGGGGAACATGCCATAAGGCAGTAGGAATAACCAAAATCACCTGTCTCAAGTAGTATTCTTTCAGAGGTAAAAGAAGACATTGAAATCATGACAAAAGTAAATGTCTACCAAAGATAACTCTTAAAATAAGATAAACCCAGGGGCCAGGTGTGGTAGTGTTTGGCTGTAATCCCAGCTATGTAAGAGGCAGAAATAGGAAGACTGCGGTTCCAGATCAGCCCAGGCAAAAAAAGTTAGCAAGACCTGCATCTCAACAAGCTCGGTATGATAGCACATGCAGGTAATTCCAGGTATGCAGGAAGTGTAGGTGGGAGTATTTTGGTCTGAGGCTGACCCTGAGCAAAAACACAAGAATGCAGTAGAAAAATAACTACAGTAGAAAAGAGCTAGGAGCATGGCTCAAGTTGTAGAGCGCCTGCCTAGCAAGTGTGAGGCCCAGAGTTCAAACCCTATACTATCAAAAAAAAAAAAAAAAAAAAAAAAAGAAAGAAAGAAAAAAAATCCATGAGTATTTATTGAAATGGTGCTATACTCTGGACCTTAAGTGTTTTCTAAAGGTCCATATGTTGAAGGTTTCCTCCCCAGCTTGGTGTGATCAGGAGGTGGTGAAATGTTCAGGTGGTGGGGCCTAGTGGGAGACGTCACTCGGGGCATGCCCTCACAGGGGATTGTGGAACCTGTCTTCTCTTTCACTTCCTGGCTGTTAGGTGAGGGGTTTTGTCCTGCTACATGCTCCTGGTCATGACGTGCTTCCATGCTCAAAGCCACAGAGCCAACCTGATCATGACTACAATCTCTAAAACTATGAGCCAAAAAACCCTTCTCTCTCTTTAAGTTAATTGTCTCAGATGTTTGTTAAAGTAACAGAGAAATGATCAACACAAGGGGAAAGGAAATAACATTAAACAAAATGAAGCAAAACAAAAATCCCACTACTGGATGCTTGGCATAGGATGGGGCTCCATACATGCTGTGTGGTCTGACACTCACTCCTGAATGCCCAAGTGAGGAGACTAGCGCAGAGAGGGTAAATGATTTGCCCAGAGCCACAGAGCTAGTGAATGGTAGAAGACTGGATTGTGGTAAACAATCTGCATTCTGATCACGTTTGCACGGACAGCCAGTGCCCCTTCCACCCCACAAGCTGCCTCTTGTGCCAGGAGCTGGTGAGGCCCACGAGGGGCTTCTCCCTGGCAGGATCACTGCCTATCTGAGACGATATGCACAGGAAAAGCAGTGATGCTGGGCAGCACCAACAGGCCCATGGGGAGCACCTACAGAGCTTATATCCAGTCAGGGTAGACCAGAAGGTTTGGTTGTATTTTCTTTTTTCTTTTTTTTGATGGTACTCAAGTTTGAACTCAGGGCTTCACACTTGCTAGGCAGGAGTTCTACTGTTTGAGCCATACCTCCAGCCCTTGGTCAGGATTTTTAAAATAATGTTTTTTTTTTTTTAATTGTGATAACATGGACAAAACATAAAATTGGCTGGTTTTAATCATTTTTAGGTATGATCCAGTGGCGTTAAGTACATTCATGTTGTTATGCAGCCATCACCACCGTCCATCTCTAACTTTTTCTCACAAGCCCCACCCCTAAACTGAAACTCCACATCAGTTAGGTAGCTCCCACCCCCACCTCCCAGCCTGTCTGGAAACCACCATTTTTCTTTTGTTCTCTGTGCATTTGATGTCTCTGGGAATTTTATGTAAGTGGAATCCTCCAGCACTTGTCCTTTTTTGTCTGGTTTATTTCATTTAGCATCTTGTCCCTAAGGTTTACCCATGCTGTAACACTGTCAGGATTTCCTTTCTTTTTAAGGCTGACTAGTATTCCATTCTTTGTATAGATCACAGTTTTTAGACATTTGCCCACTAATGGGCACTTCAGTTGCTTCCACCATTTGGCTACTATTGATAACGCTGCTCAGAATGTGAGTATACAAATATCTGCTTGAGTCCTTACTTTCAACTTTCCAGCAGAATTTCTGGATCATGTAGTAATTCTATTTTTAATTATTTGATGGACCTCCACAGTGTTTTCCATAGTGGCTCTACCATGAACTATATAAAAGTTTCAGTTTCCCCACATTCTCACCAAAAATATTTTAAATATTTATATATAAATCCCAGTGGCTTGGGAACAGGAAATTGGGAAGATCATAGATCAAGGTTTGTGAGACCCCATTTCTATCAGAAAGCTGGGTATTGTGGTTCACATCTGTGATCCCAGCTATGCAGGAGGCCACAGGTAGGAGGATCTTGGTTCAAGGCCAGCCTAGGTAAAAAGTGCAAGACTATCTCCAAAATAACCTAGAAAAGGGCTGCGTGCATGGCTCAAGTGGTAGAGCAAGCACAGGGCCTTGAGTTCAAACCTCAATACCACAAAAAAAAAATGTATATAGTAGCCATCCTAATGGATGTAAGGTGCAGGTGGCATACATTGTGGTTTTGGTCAACAGATTTTTTTTAAATTGATACATTTACTAGTATACAAATAAATAAAACTGATATAAATAAAATTCTAATAGAGTGAAAACTATACTCCAACATAAGCAATAGCAAGAGACTTCACAATATGCCTTGAGGACTAAAAAGTTTACAAAGCAGAAATGTTGGCACTAACATCCAAACAGGCAGACGGAGCCCAGATGACAGGGCCCATCGCAAGGAATATTGCCATCAACTAGTCCTTCAGGGTTAGTTATTAGAAGTTTACTTTTTTCCTTTAAAAAAAAATTTAGTAAAACACAATGACTTCCTTGATTGCTAAAGAACACCCTCTCTGCACTCACCTGTCCTTTTATTAGACTATTGGAAGAGAACAAGTCAGGCACCTGTGGCTCACTCCTACCATCCCAGCTACACAGGAAGCTGAGATCAGGAGCACCACAGATCCAGGCCAAAAAAGCTCACAAGACCTCATCTCAATGAAAAACAACTGGGCATGGTAGCATGTGCCTGTCATACCAGCTATGGTAGGAAGCATAAAATAGGAGGATTGCAATGCAGTCCAGGCCAGGCAAAGAGTGAGACCCTATCTCTAAAATAACCAAAACAAAAAGGACTGGAAGTGTGACTCAAGTGGTAGTCAGTGATATTTTGGGTGGTGATGTAGAAACTTTAGAAGGTGGTGCTTCATTGGAGGAAGTAGGCCAGTGGAGTCGTGCCTTTGAAGGTTATACCTGGTCCCTTCCTCTGTTTCCTGTCCACCATGACGTGAACAGCCTCCTCCTCCACACATTCTACTGCCATGATGTTCTACCCTCACCATGGGTGCAGAATCAACTGAGCCAAGGACTACGGGCTGAAATCATGCACTAAAATAAATCTTTCTTTCCTTAAGTCCTATATGTCAGGATTAGACCTTTATGTGGAAATAGGCAATAG